ATTTCCAGTTATGTACTTTATATTCCTTAATAAATACTAGCAAAAGTAGTGTACTCATAACTCACTTTAACCTAAAAAAATGGGATCAATATATTATTAAAACACTTAGCATGAATTTTAAATACACTATCGGAACTTAATGTAATAAAATATAATTACAAGTAAATAGTACCTACATACTTGCTTCTTTATTGTAGACTGTTGGCGATAGACCTCCTTTTATATAAGTTTATCTTTTCAGACTTTATTTTTCTATCTTAAATATGCCCTTTTATAACTGTTTTGTCTTTTACTATTGACATCTTGTAATCCTTTTGTCAAGAAATTATACTGGTAAGCGCCACTAATAATATTTATTTACTGCCTCTGCTCTTCCCTTCTACCAGTGTAGTTAATGCCAACGTTTCTTCTGGTGCAAATTTTTTCTTCGTGTTTAGTATTTAAAATATGTGTAAACACGAAAGTTTAAAATTAACTTAGCACGAAGACAGATAAATAGGTTTTAATTAACTTTTAAAAAAGGATATGCCTTCCTTTCGTAATAAAACTTAAACAAGCCAGTATGTTATGCAAATAACCCAACCCAACTCTACCGTCATGTCAATCAAGTTTTTTTAACAAAATCCTCCATTTATCAATGCACGCTCAATCTATTTACTTCGCCCACACCCAAATGCGGCGATGGTAATGCGTTTTTAAAGTGTAGTGTGACCATGATAATTATTGTTATACGTTTTTAATTATGCAGTGTTATTACATTAATTGAACTGATACTAAAACTTTTATTGTACCGTATTTTTCAAAGATTATTCCAATTAATATTTATAAAAATTTGCTATCTCTTATTAAAGTTAAAAATATACTTATTGAAATTATAAAACGTGAAAAGTACATGTGTTTGTTACATAATTTTCAATGTATAAAAATTATATTTTCATACTAATATTTGAAACAGTACTTGATCATTACTCTCCGTAACATGCATAAAATGTTGTCACCCGAGTTAATACTGAGAATGCGTACAAAAAAATTAATACTCAAGCCAATCGTTATAGAGTTGAAGTTTGTTAGTACACAAATGGGCATGCGATAGTAGTTTCTTTTACGAGGCCTTATATCTATGACGTAGAGTTGAATTTTCGTTAACAAATTCGCTATAATGCAATAGTTTTCTAGTTTTTGTAACGATGGCGTGACCTGGACTGGTAGCGTCTTCGGCCTTCGGGCAATTCTAATGTCCTTTAATATAAGAGCGTATGCGCACGCTAGGTAGCACCGGATTGGTGTTAAGAATTTTTCGAATATATTTAAGATTTAAGTGATCTCTAAGTGTAATAATGCCAGTATCAACAGGAACTTGTTTTTTTTTTTGAGTCTTTTCAACCGTTTTTAAAATAAAAAAGGTTTCTAAATTGATTTTAGTACTTATGGTATGCAATATCTTCGATCATTGTAAACTATTTTTTTTTATGACTTGAGCAAGGAAAATATTATGTCAGGTATACGTTTTAACGCAGTCCCTCTCGAAACAATTGTGGTTCATTCATAGCGTAATTATTTACAATGATGAGCAAATTAAGACGACTTCATCCTCAACTACGGGTATCATCCCTCACTAATAACTCGTGAGTATATCGTCATAGTCGTAGAATACTGTCGGATCTTTATATGTAATCTTTGTCAGATCCGTCAGTATTCTACGACTATGACGATATGTCAATAGTACAAGTTCACTATCCATTTTTATTCATTAAAAAATAACAGTCACGAAGGAAACCTCATTGCGTAGAATGAGCCATCCCTTCTTACCCATGGGTGTCGTAAGAGACCACTAGAGGAACTTAATGATTCAAAGATGAGCAGTAGCGTCCCTCTTAAAAAATCCCAAAAGCTAACTGTGATTGCCGACCCGCCTGCCAAGCATGGCAACTACTGGCAAAACCCCCCTTATGGGGGAGGCTTATGTTCAGCAGTAAACAGTTAACGGCTTTTTACCTTCCCCATTCTTCGATGGAAATAAATCACATGGTGATGGTGATGGTATCACGTTACGTCACATGATCGTACACCATTAGCATACACGGACCACTACTCTATCCTTATTCATTAAAATAACAGATCATTAATAATCTAAGACTAGGTATCACGCAAAAGCTTGCCCTATACGCCAATAATTGCCACGGCAATACACCGACAATGGTCCTATTTCCTTGTCCTACAAGAGATAGTAAGTAACGCGAGAGCGTAACTAGTTGTAACTAAGTTAGTGGGACAACACACGAGTCGGTAATCCATACTGTTTATCCTACTTCGTAATTTTCGGATATTAAGAAACTAAAATCTTAGTTCAGTTTTCACAGTAACCACCTCTTGACGGATCTATTGAAATAGACTATACTGTTTCAATAGAATTTAATAAAAATGTAAAAAAATTAATAATTGATCCAACTATAAGACGATCAGCTGATATGTAATAGTAGGTACAAGTTAAAAATCGATTAAATGAATCAGCAATTTAATTGATGTTTCGAGTGGTTTCGATTTGTTACTAATTCTAGACAAGTGTTTCTGTGACAATTTTAACAAAACCTGTTTACTTTTCATTAGTTCTAATAAAATAGACTAAAACAGAAATAAAAAAAAAACTTCATAGGGAGAATAAAACAATTTTGTACAAAGTAGTTTGCATAGGTCTCTGTCTAAAACATGCTTCTGCCGTTAAAAAGCTACACGTGTTTTGGATTGATATGACGGGCTAATATAGCAATAAACATTATTTCATTTATTATAGTCATTAAGAATATTTCAGTGAATTCCATTATAATAAGTGCTATACAATGACACCAATTGTCTGATTCTTAAGCTAGAATACCTTAATTATTGATTGATCTCATAAGACAGAGATACCCGGGGAGGGCGGAAGGAAAGGGATTGTTAGTAATGCGGACTTCCAATCTCATTGCTAGTAATATACCCTATTAGGTGGACCTCCCCGTGATTCCCCTGGAAATCATCGTGCTAATTTTCAGGTGTATTTATCACGATGGATTAACAGACCAGCCTTTACATTCTCACTTATCATCCCTCAAAGGGACCGTTAGCGCAGACGGGGTTACCATTCGATTATCATCCATTAAAAAAAATAAATAAACAGAGATACCAGAGAACGACTATCTGGGGGTACGCCCCATTACACCCAGACCCAAATCAATTTAGAAAAGATCGTTTCCTAAATCGACCCAACCGAGAATCGAAATTGGAACTTGCGCATAGCGATATGCTTGCCACAACGCTACGAAGGTCGTCCACGGAGTTGGTCTATAGGGGAAAGTTAGAATATACCTTTAGGTAGATCTATAGCTTGTTTTAAACAGCAAAATTAGTACATACATATGACAACAGAACGTATAAATTTTGCCATTCTCTCTTTGAATAGACGTGGTTTAAATATTTTGCTATAAATCTTCTACACCGTGTGCGGAGGCCTTAAAAACATATAGGCTCAGTATGGCATGATCCCTTTCACTCGCACCTCTTTAATTAACATAGTATAGATATAATGTGCCTAACAACGGTTATACAACATTTACTATCGAGCTCTTACTACAAACTGTCCCATATCTTATGTGTTAATCCAGGATAGAACCTATCTAAGTAAATTTTAAGTAACAATCGCCTATATCTCTTGCTTGTTTGAATTGTTGGTCTGAAGGATGAGATAGTAGTAAATAAATATTGGATAGTTTAACTCAAAATCTGTAATTTGGCTCTGTTGTTACAAGGATTTATGGTGCTCACTATTGGATATATTGTATGACTGTTTGCGACATACAAACATATGTGAATATGGTTATAATTTCAAGTACCTACATATTGTTCCGCAAAAGAAAAGCTACTTCAATTGTGAACACATTGATAAATGACGAGATGTTTCGTAGATAACCTACATTGCAAATGGTGTTACATATAGATTTTACTTCGTAATAAACAGTTTTTGCTCCAAAGAAAACATGCAGTTTCAATCTTACAAGATTAAAATAGGAGTAAAAATAATTGTGAAAATAGACATAGACTAGCGACGTAAAGATATAACACATAAAAAAAATTCAGAGAAATTGAGAATTTCTAAGTGTTTTTTAAAGTCGAACAATAATTAATATGTTATTTTTGAACTATTGTTTTGATTTACATATTTTCTGTTATTTCTGTCTACAGATGATTGGTAGATAATGCCATATGGTGTTAAGTCCGCCATTTACACTTACTTTATGTATTAAAGTTTACTAAATAAGTAATAATAAAAAAATAATTGTAATCTACTTTCCGCATAACACGTGAACAGACAAACGATAAGTTATTTATTGTCTAGTTATTAGTAGGTGTCGACTACTTTGTCATGTAGGGTCCAAGGTCTACTGGGTGACAACTGTACCTATACGTTACCGGATCTATTAAACTGTGAGACATGCGCGACGCGAAAAAGGAGGTGTTTCTGATGGGCCATAAATCTTGATCATGCATTCATGCACACCTTCATGACAAGTATTTACGGTATAGCCTTAAAGAAATAGAACTTTAACTAATTGTTTGGCATAATAAAAAGCTACAATTAGGATCTTATAAATTCCTGTTAGTTTAAAAAATATTTGATCAGGAGTCACCAAATATTGTGTATTCCTCCTACTAAAACTGTTACCCAAAATTTCCAAAAATTTTCTTTTCAAGAATTTCATTATCACAAAATTTCACGAAAAGAAAAAAATACCTCAAAATCTGCGAAAAATATACCCAATCTGGCAACGTTGAACTAGGAACAATACTACTCGACCTGGATAGTAAAGAAATAAAGGTTCGAATCCCGTCAGATCGACCTGGCGGAAAGAACTTTTTTATATGCATAAACACCTATGTTATGAGAAACCAAACAAATCAGAATACTCAAACTCGAGTCAATTTAAAGGTCAAACGAAACTAATATAATTAATAGAGCAAATACATACTGATAGCACGCAGACGTCGCCGTGGCGTCGGTGGGCGTTTCAAACTTAGGTCGACTGGCTCCAGCTGAATCGGAGGCCCGCAAGCCTGTGACAAAAATAAAGATTAATAATTAATAAGTAATAAACTAGTAGACATCTCCACAAAAAAAAAAAAAGATGGTAACTTCAATCGTATTAAAGACATTTTGATTTTAAAACCAAACTACTGAATGGTTTTTGATGAAATTTCTATGAGACCAACAGGAAATAAGGATAATTTTCTTAATCGATTTATAAATAACTGAGTTATAAGGTAAGAAACAAAAAATACAACAGAATTTAGAACCCCATCTTTTTTTTTAAAGCCGGTTGATGAAATGATTAATACTGAATTATGATCACAGAATTTTAAAAAAAATCTTTATTTGAATATAGACTTATAACTTTTTTATAACGTCACTCTTTTATATTTCTACCGTTGAGTTTGGGCTGTCATTATTTGCTAAAAAGAATCTGCAAGAAATTCAGCAATGACTCTTTTCAAATAAAACGTACAAAACTATGTATATATATTTGAAAAGTTTTTGCTAAAACTGCTGAGTTTTTGCTGGCAGACGGAACATCTTGTAACATAAGGAAACTATATAGTTCTAAAACTTAGACAAGGCACTCTAAAATAATTCCGAAAACCGGCCGACTCGTGAGCGTCGTGTGCGGGCATCAAATGCATGCATGCGATGCAAAATTGGAAATTGGAGTTTCAATGCAAGCGGAAAACAGCATGTGAATATGTAATAGCTTTTTTTCATATATTAGTAGAAATTACAGAAAAACATCAATGAAATGAATGAGTTTATTCGGGGTAAAAAAAGTTACTAGCCAATCGTGACAAAACCAGTTATTGTAAAAACTAAACTACTGAACCGATTATAATAAAAGTATATACTTTCAGATAAAAAAATAACTTTCCAAATCGGCGCATAAATAAGTATATAAAAAAATTACCTATATATATATATATATATATATTTTTTTTTTTTTATTGCACTAAAACATACAATAACAACAATAAGTTAATAACAATGTTAGCAAAGGCGAACTTATCTCTAAAAGAGATTTCTTCCAGTCAACCCAACACAGTGGCATAGGAAGTAGTGAGTGGGCAGTAGTAGTGCTAACCAGAAATTAAAATAAATATTTACATAAATTATAAATAATTATATATATTATAACCAAATTGAGAGCCTCCTCCTTTTTAAGTGGGTTGAAAACAATTTCAATTGTGACAAAATGAATATGAGAGTAAAAACTAGGTAGCAATAAAATTTATATATTGTTTATACGATATATAAATGTGATTGGACATTATTTTTTTCCCAATTTGCTGGTAATATTTTGTAAATGTTATCATATACAAAATATTACCAGTAAATTGGGAACCGCCTTTTCTTAGAAGCGCTTAAAAAAGGTTACCAAAAAATTAGAAACATGTTTAAAAAAGTTACACATATAGTCTTTCCGCTAATACTGAGACCTTACTAATGATGGTTTTAATTGAAGATGATTTGTGCAACTGTAACTGTATGTTGCGTAAATACTTGTACAATCTATGGTTGTGAAGCAGCGCCACGCCCGGTTCTTCATACACGCGATCACATCTGTATTCCATAACAAGTGGACGTGACAATCTCAAAAAAATAACTACTAGTACTCCTGCAAAGGAGGTTGTCTCTTGATGTCAAAAAACTACCAAAATATATTTTATTTTTCCCCCATATATATTTGCAAGTTTAGAACTTCGTGACTTTTCTAATGCAATCACATTTTTTACTATTTCTCACTCACACACATAATTTATTTTTTTTCTATTTTAAATACCGTTTTATTCTTTCTATAATTCTATTTGCTTTCTTTTATTCGCATACTGTATTTTATAATTGAAATGTTATCTACTAATTATATTATGGAATGCAATAAGAAATAAATAAATATAATCTAGATTTCCATACTATGACGAAGTTAAAAAAAATATATATATATATTTATTAATATTAAATTAAATATTAAACGGTACAATACTCCCACAGAATATAGAAATACATGATAAGTACAACAAAAAAATATTTCTCTCTTTGGCAGTCGGATAAAAAAGGCGCACAATCCATTTAGGATAGATAATAATTGTCACCCTTATACAAAACCCAAAGGCCTACAAATTCCGGTAGAAATGAATCATCCAGCAATTCAAGTAGTTAGTTTTGTTTGGGCCATTGTTGTAAAAGTTCCTTCCTTTTAGTATTCTATACTTTAAAAAGAATCCAACGTGACCTAGAACTCCCGCTAGCAGTGAAGCCTCACTATAACAGTTTTAATTGAAGATGAGTCGTGCAACCGGCTGTCCGTTGCGTAAACGCCGCGGTCGTGCAGCGACGCCACGCCCGATATTATTCGCACTAAAATCGCAGGAGTACCTATATGAAATTGTACTTGTAATATCTATTCTGTGACATGATTCTTACGAAATGGAAGATAAATATTATTGAGTAGTTATTATCAATTACTAGTATCCGGCTCCGGCTTCACATGGGTGCAAATTGTACAATAAACCTTCCGTTAAAATTATCTAAATAGAAGTTAAACGTGGTAGTAATGTGTGGTTTAGAAGTAAGGACAGACAGAGACAGCGATATTTTTATACTATTTAACGATATTTTTAATGCAGTTTGCAAAGGTAACGTAACAGACGATATGGAATCAAAACATCATGAAATAAAGTCATACTAATCGCTGCTTGGTGATTAAAATGTAAGTGGAATAAAGGTTCTTATGCAGGCAGAGTTTGGCCAAAACCTTACTCAGGTATTCAAAGGATTTGAATAAAAACACTTCAAAAGATAAAATAAAACATACTGAAATTATCGAAATAATAATTGATATGAAGCTATAAAGCTTCTGTCATAAGTACGTAATATTATCATATAGGTAAAGCCCACTAAAGGTATTACAAAAATATGATACATTCTAATTTGATTTATAATACAACTTAACATGCCCTATGAAACACGAAGCCACATTCATATTTTAATTTCATACTCAAAACCCTCAGACCGCAATCAAGCGTACCGCCGAACGAACTGTCAACGTTTTTGTTCATAGTAAAAACCTGGATTCATTCACGAGGAAATAGTGTTTCGCGAGTAACAGTGGTTTCCAATATTTCAACGGCATTGCGTGCATTGCAGTTAGGATGGTCGGTGTTATGCAATGGCTGCTTGGCTCACCTTGCCTGCCACGCCCCAAGCCAATCAGACACGTGGAAATTATTTCCACTTTTTATACGACGTGAAAACGAGGTTTTTTTTTTTTTTAATTAGTTGGGCATATTTCGTTAAGATGTAACTCGCAAGTCTGAAGGAATCCTAATGATCTTCACATTCACGCTCATTGATTCTGATTCAATATAATTCTTTACACCTGATAGTAAGTACCTTAGATATGCTTTTATGAAAAATGACAGATACCATAAACCATTATTCTTCTATAGTGATTTAATAGTAAAACCGAGTGAATCTCAGTATCTCATAAAAAATATTAAAAAAATTTGCCAATAATGAAATAGAGATAAGATAACCGCGTAAAATGCATATAAATAAAAAAAATTCAGGATAATTAAGTAGTCTTCTTTTAGAAGTTGTTTAAACAAATAGAAAGACGAATAAGTTGACTGACAATCAAAGCATAGCAAAATCTATACATTATAGATGATTTTTGGAAAACCCTTCAGTAACGAGAAATAATGGAATTATGTTAGCAAAGGCGTAAAGTCTTTAAATATGGAACCATCCCTTATGGAAAGTGGTAACAGTCGCCTAAAGACATGAGCAGTATCATAGTTTCGAGATAACCGCAACGATTTTGTATAATTTTTGTAATTAATCACTGACAGATAATTGAACTGTCGATACTTTTATAAATGTCAACAGTAAAATTATCCTGATCATTAATTAAGTTAAAAAAGGAGGAAAATATGTAAATCTTGTTTATCTGGTAACAACATAGATTTAGTTCATAAATTCCCATATAACATCTACAATTGATTCTATGCAAAAACTTTTTGAATGTATTGAAAAATATCATCTGATCAATGAATATTTCAGAGTTAATTTCGCATTAGATCCGCGTGAATAGAAACAACTGCTCAAATATCTAAAGCATTACACAACAAGTTTTACATTTCTCTAGCAATAAATACCAGAGACAATTTTAGGCTACACATAGAGAATTCTGATGGTGAAATATACCATAATGTCCTATCACCGAATCAATGCATTGCAAAATGGTACAAACGTAATAGATTGCAATGTGGACGGTTTGTTAGACATACCTATTTGAATAGATAGGGCTGTTAATATAAGTCTGACTACACAAGGTTTTGCTGCGCATTGCAAAAATAATTATAACACAATAAAGATTGAGAAATATCTTAAAATAAATCATCTTAAAGTGTAGTTATCGAGGTTTTTTTTTTTCGGAAAAATCTAGACCAATTTATCATGATCAAATAGATCGTAACCTGCTTAATAGAGAGGTCAAGAATCTTCGGTATCTGCACGCAAAGGGAATGTAAGAGACGCATATATAAACGTAGCAAGTGATTCACTCTATTCTACAGAGGGCCTGGCCCTCTACACAAGTAGTAAGAACTATCAATGGAATCGTTATGACTAGCGAGACAATGAGATAGAGTGAGCTGGCAACGTCCCATGTTCATTCGAACTTATGAACTCGTTTACGATAACAATTCCATCGATGGATTCGTTTGCCACTCGTTTAGGAGAACTGGCGTGAAGATAAATAGAAATACGAGCTTTTCTTTATTATTAGCGACTAAGATTGCCCATGATCACTTGCAATACGAGAGAAGTTGCTTGTGCGTTGCCGGGCTTTTAAATATTTGTAGGCACGTTTTTTTAAATTCCAAATATTACATTGTCAGAGGAAAACTAAAGACTTGAGCTCATTCCACGACTAAAATATACGAGGTAGAAATGAACAGGATGCACGGACAGTAATTGTATGCCACGTACCCAAGAAATGAGGGTGAACTGTAGCTCTATGGCGAGAAGTAGGATGGTCAAAATGTGACGATGGCGTTAAGTCATATACGTATATAATACCCTGTACTGGAGTATAGTCAAGATATTAAATTATATTGAAAAATATTGAACATACAATGGCGGACTTATAGATCAATCTCTTACAGTCAACCTTTGAGAAGTTGAAAGAAATAAATATTGTCGTTTTCCGACCTATGTTTCCTTGGGGGAAAATATTTAATTTCACTGGTATTCTACCATAAAAGGATGCTAATGATCTAGATATCGTTCAATAGAGCCTAAGGCATTAATAATGTCTACAACTTATATAAAATGGTCTCATTGAACAGCCCTATACCAAATAGGTAAGGTATCATTTAATTGATCCATTGATTTGTCACTTATCTGATGATAGCTCTGGGCTAGTGTTGCTACACTAACATTACTAAATTCTAATATAATTTTCTGAGAAATTATTATATAGTTAAATAATGTTATTGTGTAATTGTCTATCTAATGAAGAAGATTGACTCGTTTGAGCTAATAAAGAATATTATCGTACCTACGAACATTTGCGACATTTAAATAATTCAAGATAATGTTCTAAAAAACAACTTCAATAGTGACAAAATTACTACGATTGGCTTCTATTAAAATAGAACAATCAAAACCAGTTTAGAATTATTTAATCAATTATATAAAAATCAATTGAACTATTGTATAAATAATTACGAATATTAAAGGAAATATTTTTGGGTAGCCTTAACATTCAGGTAGTTTGGCATGCAACATGAACAAATAAATAAATTGCATAAAAAAAATACAATATACTACTAGTACTAATATAAACATTTAAAAAAGTGTAAGTAGACTTCACTTAGGAACTCGATCGATATTAATTACAAAGTTGACAAAGGCAACGAAAGATTTTTTTTCTTTGTAATGTAACTTTAAAAAGATTATTCGACTTTAAAAATTCTTTTACCTGTAAAAAGTTACAATAATATAGCGCTATTTCCCTAAACCTATCTCTAAAATTAAAATTTGATACCGCAGCGAAATCTTATTGTAAGAACTAATATAAACTAATTTTGTAATAGATTTAAGTGAAAATTATTATAACTTTAGTTTATGATAACCCATAAAACAATTGTTGTAAGTATGTATCAACCGTTAACTGTCCACTGCTGAACATAACCTCCCCTATAAGGGAGTTTTACTAGTAGATGTCACGCTTTGTAAGCGGGATGACAATCGCAGTTTGACTTTTGGTGATATTTTAAGAGGACGCTGCTGTCCACCCCGCTACCATAAGTTCCCTTAGTCGCCTCTTACGACACTTACAGGAATGAAAGAGATAGCCTATTCTGTCAGGACATACACGGCTAATAAAACAGTAATAACTCGTAATTATCAAATAAAATATTACATTAAGCGATAAATTTAGAGAAATGGCACCTTAGAAATGGCCGTATTAACAACGAGCAGTAAAGGCTGTATTTTACTAAAATAAAACCGTGCGAAGCCGCGACAGGTCGCTAGTATAAATTGTAACTTTTGTAATAAGAGAAACGAGTCTGCAATTAATTATTGTATACAACAGCGGACAGTTAGATCGTACCTAGGAGCCTATCGATACATCTCAGATGTCGGCTAATTTAGCGGCTATAAACTTAATCCGCTATAATCTAGATCAAGATCCAGCAATCGGAAATTGAAAACTATGGGAACTTGTGAGAAATACATTGGAACGTACTTTGTGTGCGCTGTTTTTGCGGGTACAAACAAAAACAAATGAAAATTAATAAAACAACAAGTTTTTAACATACACATGTGTATGATAAGATATTTTGTTTATGTTTAGTGCTAAGTCTTACACATGCTGTGTTATTATAATGTAATCATCATTCATCATTTGATAACTGTCCAGCGCTGAACATAAGTCCATATGTTCTCTTGATCACTAAAATTTTATCCTTCTTATTTTATCCACAATGAAGTTACAGGGGAGATCAAAAGTGTCGTAAATCGCTCCGAAAAAAAGATCTCGGCAAAGACACGGCAGTGTAAACAAAACCAAGTATTTACCTCGACAGTTGCAGGCAGCACAGCACCTCCCCGGCGCCTAGCGCCTTCCCTCTCATCCTGAAACAAGATTAATCTTGTTTACTAGCAAGTACATTGTGCTCCTTATAAAAAAAAAAAAAAAAACTACTTCAATTGTTTCAAAACATACCAACGAAAAGACGAGATTCTTCGTGGATCGATTGAAAATAGTTCAATTTAGAACGCGGAATTGTAGTGCGTAACCTGAACTTTGTTTATGATTTATTGCAATAGGCAGAATTGTGGTTCGATTTAACACAAATAGCAAGAAAGTAAAAAAAATACAGATTAATTGCAAACCTCCTCTTTTTTCAAGTTTACAAAAAAGGTGTAAAGATACAATCGTCTACTGATGTTAATTTTAATTTGGCTTCGTTATTCATGAAGGTCTCTAAGGTATCATAGCCGAAGATGGATTACGTATTTATAATATCTCTAAAAATGTGATGTGTGTGTTTATTCACGATTCATAGACGAATTTGAAATTTGGTGGTTTAAAAGTGGATTCGAACTAGAGACCTGCAGATCGCAATCAAGCGCATTCCATCTACCAAGCTGTCACTGTTTCGACACACTATTAGGAATGACAAACAAGCTGACGGACCACCTGATGGAATGTGACAACTGTCGCCTATATACATTAAGTCCATAGCATCGCTTACATAACCCGAAGGTGAGGTATCAAGAACGAGAATATCGGCGAGTATACGTAAAATGATTTGTATGAAGAGATATTAATGGAAACCTTTATCCCACTCTAATTATCCTGTAAGAGTTCTAGTGTGAAGATAGATAAGTGCCTCTTATATATTACCAATAATGAACCGGCTTTCTTATCATTTATAGTAAAACATGGTTTTAATTTTTTGTTCCTTTGATTAACTTGTAATATTTGCTCAAATTATCTACAATAAATTGACAACCCTATATATGATTACCAAATACAACGAATGTGCCAACCCTATGCCATACGCACTATTCTCTATAACCTCCCCTCGCCTCCTTAAATTAAGGCAACCTAGCCATATTTAGACTTCACCAAGGCAACACGCAACACTTTCGGACGCCAACCGCTGCAGTCCAGCGGTGAAAGCGCCAAATGTTACGTTCCCACGCTACAGTTACCGAGCGTGACTTCGCACGTCCCTGTTACACATTCTAATTTTATTTGCGACTGACAAGGACAGCGAATGTGGTCATCCTGAATTCGAAATGGACAATCGACATATGCCGATCTACTGAAGTTTTCAGTATGTACATACTCCTTATTTTATTAGGGAACTATGGAAACTATAGAGCTGAACATAAAGATTATTGTAAAAGTATATCAATAATTTATCCTATAAATATTTACATATGAGTTTTAAAAAAATCGACTACAAAAATAGATAATATTCTCATTATATTACTGTTCATGTCGACGATTAATACCAAATGAGAATAAAAAAGTAAACTATTACCTATTAAAATTTATGACTTCCATGGATCTTGGCATCATTTTACCTTCTCGGAATTTAATTGGCATAGCTATATGGTCTACAGTATTAGTAAACTTCCTATATCAGTTTTCGTACATTTTTAAAAACTATTTTAATTTGCTGTATCATTGTTACCCTATGAAATCTTTCTACACTATGAAATAACACAAAGGTGTGTTTTATGCATTGATATATCATAGTCAGGATTCAGGAAATCATACTTTGTTCTATGCAGATCACATATACGTATGGATTGCCGGAAACATTACGAAATTAAATAAGTTTCATCACGTTTCCGGTCATCTCATAATGAGGCCAAACCTGTATTATTGGAAAACTAATGGATACTGAACACGTAACAATATGATTAGTAAATTGGTAGATAGACAGGTTAATTTTACTTGCAAAAGAGAACAACTGATTGTTGTTTAAATTAACATATAATTAAAGAAAGAAAGCCCTGTCGACTGAATAAAAATACCTATTGAAATCAGTTTAGAATTAGCGAAGGTATCGCGTAACATGTATATATAAAAAAACACATGCTAATTGAGTAATTCTTTATTTTTAACTCGACTTAAGTATGTTATCTTATGATATGTATAAAAGTAATATTTTAAAATTATATTTAAAAATAAAACACCGACTCGATTGCAAAACTGACCCGATTTTGGCAATTTTTTTATAAATTAGATCTAAAAGTATCAATTTGAAAAATTTTTTTCTTATCCTTTTAGAATTTACAAATCGGTGTATAAATGACGAAATAAATAAATATCGCTGGATTATTGATTATACCTAATTATTCAGTTACATCTTCTTATCGTATTCTTTCTACATAAAAAAATTTATATATTATTTTTTTTACAACACAGGGGGCATACGAACATGCGGCTCAACTGATAGCAAGTGACTACCGCCGCCCATGATCACCCACAACACCAACGGCATTGCAGGTGTGCTGCTGGCCTTTTAAAAAGGCTCTTTTCTTGAAGGTTATGCGTCATCATATCGGTTCGGAAATACTGCTACTGGAAGTTAATTCCAAAGAGTAGTAATGCGTGGAAGAAAGTGCCTTAAAAAACGCACGGTGGAAGACCGCCACTCGTCCAGATGGTTGGGATGAAATTTTAGTTTATGGCGGTTTAGTTATTGACTGACTAAGGGGGTGTCGTTTACTGAGTGAGCGTACGAATAAAATGGATATAAGCTCAATACATGGAACAAATATTCAAATAAAAAAACACGTCATTTTGACGTTCCCAAAACATAACACCCAACACGAATAGACTAGTCAATTAACATGAAAATTTGCACAGGACTTCCTTATACTTAGTATCACATACATGTAGGTGACTATAAGGATTTAAATAATGATAAAAAAGGGGAAAGTTAGTATAGAAATTGTCGATGAAATATGAAGCAGGCAACAAGTAATATAATAAATTGTATACATTCTGACAGAAGGACATCGCGTCGATTGCATTAGATATACTAACTCCCACTAGTTCCCACGGCAACAACACTTTCTAATGGTTTGATATTTATTTTTCGTACGTTACATCGATATTAACAACTATTAACTCGTAAATCATAATAATATCTCATGTCATAGACAAGAAAACATCCTTCTTATTGTAAATGCCAAATTAATCTAAATGTTAAACATTAAGTTTTCGTCTGGTTTTGTATTTTGATAAACTCGTTCGATAATAAAAAGTTCGTGTTGTGATATAATATCTTCGCCAATATTTTGATAATTCCATTTGCAATCGACATTATTTACATTCGTGATGGTAACAACATAATATTGACACTATCACGATATAATTCGTTCTTTAGTTGAGAAAAATATTTTTTTACTATAAGAGAATGGCAAGAAACCTTAGAAATTGCCTTAGGACTCTTTTTTAAAAATATTCTGTGTGATTGCAAAAATCGGTTCTACGCCCTTTTTCCTCGTCAAATCTTGAAAAAATTGCAATTTTTTTACGGCAGAGTATGTGGAAAGATATATAACGCGCTCAAGTTCTTAAGATTCTGAATTAAGATGCGTCCGAACGGTCCGAAGTTGGATAATAGTAACCAAAACTCATGTTTTAAAGATGATACTACTTGAATTGCTTCTTACCCTCTAGACTGAGTCTCAAAATGTTGCTTTTATATATCTCTTATTATATTTTTGTAAATTATAAAGATAAAATAATTACTGGTTTACTACAAAAAAAAAAAGTAGATACCTACTAAAAATACTACCAGTGAAACTTTCAGCAAACAATAAGAAAGCGCATGTCTAAAACGGAATGACGGGAATAATCGATAGACTATTCAATTGTTCAAAGCCGCGCCCGCTTGTTTGTAAGAGCCAAAGGTCCTTACGAGGTTAATAAACAGCATCGAATGAGTGACAGTAACACTAACACTTCCTAAGACATTAAGCCATTTCGATATGACCTTCACCCAATGAAGCGAGGATGCTCTCGCGGTTTACCCTGAACAGTATTTTATAGCAGATCAGCCTGCCAAGGCAAGTAACTACTGATTTTATTCTATAACTTTATCCAGGAATTACTGTAATTAAGACCACAGTATGGAATTTCCGTTTCAATGGAACTAATGAAAATGTAAACAAAAAAAAACTGTCCCGATCAAGAGACAGTTTGCTGATAGCAAATAGTAATCCAAATAATAATTAAAGATTGTGTCTCACAGTAATAAACGACTTCAATTGTGCCAAAACTAGTTGTTTTGATTAAAAAATTAAGTTACTGAACAGATTTTTATAAAATTTCTATAGGACCAATCTGTATTTTTTTTATGCTACTTAAAATGGCAAACAAGTTGACGGCCCACCTGATGGATAGTGGTAACCGTCGCACTATAAACATGAGCAGTACCATGGACATAACAGAATATATTGTTTTGCCTATGATACCCCCCCCCCTTTGTTGCCATTATAACATTTCAGATAAAAAAATAATTTTCGAAATCGGTTTAGATCTGACGGAGTTACGGATGTTTTTTTGATTGTTAAACTTAAAAAAAAAATACAATGGAATTGAAAACCTCCTTATATTTGAAGTCGGTAGTCGGTAATAATAATTACAATAAAACTTGATTACCTTTTCACAACATTCTATTAAAACAGATTATGGGAAAAAAATCTTAGTTAAATAACAATCCTACTACTAAAATATTCGTGAAAATGTTTGAGTACGGAAGGATGTCTGGTACTCTTTCACGCAAAATCTACTAAAAAACTTCGAATGAAATTTAGTACACAGATTATACTCATATCGTAAGATATAAAATATTTTATATACTATTCCATGCAGGCTAGGCCGCGGGTTACAAATAGTTCATTTATAAATCAATAGAAGTTGCGACCTAGTAGTAACTTAGATGAAGCGACGGCCTCAAATATGTTGCTATCTAAAAGAAGTCATTGGATGCAGGTGATTAAGGATCGTTGCTTATGGCAGTCTATGGGAGAGTCCAAGTTCAGCGAATAATTATTCAATTAATAATCAGAATCAATGAATAAATAAATCGATTGTTATTTATACTAATTTCCAAAGACATCATATAATATACACTAAAAAATACCTGCAGAGGATTCTACCCCTTATTGAGGAAACTATATACCACTGAGGTGGCAAACAAGCATACGGCCCACCTGATAAAACTTCAATGAATCTTTAAATAGAACTCGATCCGATAGGATTCGAAAGCTTATCCTACAACTATCCATACTAAATGCGTTTCCAGTTAGATTGTTCACTACGAAACTCTGAAGGAGTACCTATAGCCCTTATAGAAAAGTGACAAACGAATCTATTGATGGAATCGTTGTCGCTAGCAAATATATGAGATACAATGAGATAGCGATGTCTGATATCTCGTTTTATTAGCGCATCTATTGAACAATTTACATTTGTCTAGGTGAGTAGGATAGTAAATTGAACAATCTCTTTTTTTAACGATGTTCGAAACCAGTCGAATCGAGTTCTGATAGAATTATGTTGTCCTATTATTTTTTTCCATTTTATTACTCAGGATTCGTTTACGCGGTATGCATTTTAAATTATTTTTAAACATGGTATTGAATATTTAACAATATTCAAAAACGTAGTTGTCATTGTGACCTTTTTTCTTTTTATTTCTTGTGAGTATTTTACGCGACATCTACGAACGAAAAATTGTACCCTAAACTCAGCAAGGTCACGATACCACCGGCAAATTTGATCCGGTACAGTTAGCTTGATAGCAATTTGCGTTAAAGGTTATGTAGTAAAAAACCAGTTAACCGCTAGTTAAATTAATCTAGTGAGGGATCCTTCTATGTATCCTACAAATATGATAAATGTGAAAGTTTGTAAAGTTTTTTATTACTCAATCATGTTGAAACGATTTAAGTGATGGATTAGCAGTATACAATATTTTCTTTCATTTGTATCTTATAAACGAAATACGTCCAGAAGCCTTTCCAAAGGAAAAATGTAATATCGCGATTTCTCCATCTTTAGTTGATATCGTGTTCTTTAGTAACATTAATAAAATCTGGATATTTTGGGCTGGGTCTATTGTGACGTTATTTTTATTACAGTTTAGTTTTATAATAGTTATTATATGATTTGTTAATAGTTTCATTAATTCTCCATTGATTGACAAGTCTATTTTATAGAGTACAGTCGAAATGTTTAGAATCGTCTTAAGGAGATACTACTTATTAAATTGAACTTTTTCACCAAAAAAACAGGTCACAATACAACAAAAAAATTTTGGTTAGATACTCAATTTTTTCCGTTTTTTAATTTTATATAGATATAATATTAGTTTTACATTCAGCTAACTTCAATTTCAAATGTTTAATCAAAAAATACTACCCAGGATTACTGGTGGTAATTTAAGGAGTTTTTAGGCAGTATTAAGAGCAGTCCTGAATCACCTACTTCTACAGACTCTCTGCAATATATTTCATTGAAGTTTCTTTATCCGAATATATGTATGGTACTGGTCTCTCCCTATAAAACGAGAATGGGAGCCTAATAAACCACGTTGGTCAGGTGGCTAAGCACAGATTTTTACCTCCAGTTTTCCCTTTTTTACATGATATCATAGAAATAAAAAAATCTCCTTCTAGCATCATGCTTGAATACATGCATGCTAGAGGGAGTACTATTAGGTATCTATAATCACTAGAGGTTGACTTCATATAAAGTCATCTACATAGATACCTCTGTTGTATCAGTGTTTCGGCCGAAAACAGCTGTGCCTACATGGCTGCGTTTCAGTTTTAAGGGATTGCTAGTCAAATAATAATGGACAGAGGCATAATATGTTCGTCCTTAGAAATGGTAACGCAAGACAGGTATTATGCGTCTTCTGTGATGTACATGGGCCGTCAGTTTCTATGCCATAAATGTTTTGATAAATGTTTGATATTTATTATAATTTTGTTTTCTCCACAGAAGAAGCGCTCGCGCATGATCAGAACGGGCGTGTCGCAATACTTTGATTAATAGACGCGCACGCCGCGACCTCTTTACTGACCTTATTCAAATGCAACTTGTATAGGGAAGGTCGTCAATACGAACCCATCGTGAGACGATTTAAAGACGCATTTTTAATCTAATTGCAGACAAGTTAATGCAATGTGTAGTTCATAGTGGCATTCCAAAAGAATCTCTGATTATAAAAAAAAATTAACCAAGAACGTGTAAGACTCGTATTAATAACGTTCTATTAATTTATTATTGATAGGTGACTAATGAAGCGATAGCTCTAATGATACGATAAAAAAACTAGTTCAAATATGGTAAAGGATGTGCACAGCTTTAAAATTAATAAAAAAAAATCCGTTAGCGTCGTAAAATTGATGAGAATTTTTTGTAATGGGGTCTAACGCCTATTCTTAAGAATATACTCTATCAGGTCAATCCCCAAGCGGTTCCACTTAGAAAGCACCATGACTAATTCTTAGTGAATACGAACGTTTAGACTCCCTTATCGTTTCCTCTACCACTGATACCCAGTCATTATATAACATTAGCATAAATAGGCGGTAAATGTACCATTCCACATTCATTTAATTTAATATCAATGATTTACAAGTGATGATATAAAGAACTCACCATCGACACCATCAAGGGCCTTCGTGTCACCACAATGGTGTCTTGTTAACTGAAAACAGAATTGAATTTACATAAATAATATAAGGTTAATCATTTCATTAGAATTCTTTTTTTTTTGTTTTTTACAATACAGGGGGCAAACTAGCATGCGGCTCACCTGGTGGTAAGTGACTACCGCCGCCCATGATCACCCACAACACTAACGGCATTGCAGGTATGCTGCCGGCCTTTTAAAAAGGAATATGCTCTTTTCTTGAAGGTTATGTTGTCGTATCGGTTCGAAAATACTGCTGCTGGAAGTTGATTCCAAAGAGTGGTTGTGCGTGGAAGAAAGTGCCTTGAAAAACGCAGTGTATATCCTGTATATCGACTAAAGCATTTAAAAAAAAAAACCAGTTTCACTGGTCTTCCTATAGTATCCTCCTTAAAAGGAAAACTAGATCTTTCTATTTCATTCTGTATAGAATTTTCTGTGATAAGAAAGTAAGAATATGTCACCACCATTTCATCCCCAGATTATTGCAAGAGTGAACTAAGAGAACAATACTCTTAACATAGCAAAGTGCAAGACAAGAACAAAATAGGAGAACAATACTACAAGTACAGTATTATATTAAACCACCTGGACAGTGAGCCAGTTAGTTATAGCAACCTCTCAAAGAAGATTTGTACCCAGCGATACAGGGCAGGCCAGCTGTTATTACATAATATTAATTTCAAACTATGAATTTGCATAGTAAATTTTACATAAAAAAAGTCAGAAGTCTAATTGTCTCTGGTTTTGTCAAATAACTTCATTATTTGAAAAAAGAAAAAGACAGAAGTTGTTGCAATGGAGTTTGACAGCCCCATTTCTAGCAATATGTCCTATTAGGTCAATCTCTATGTGGTTCCCCCTGGAGACCATCATGAACAATTCTCGTTGAATTCGTCATAATGGGTTAACTGACCTGCTTCATCCTCACCTATCATCCTTCACTGGTGCCCCACCGGTGTACACCGACAGCATGGGTAGGGTTACTATTTCATTATCACTTATTAAAAAACCATATGCAAGGGATAAATCGAGATAGCAGCAACTTGTATTTTTAAAGTGAATAATTCTTTTTCATGATGCAGTAACAAAAATGTACATGCAGAATGTTTGCCACTTATCTAGAGGTGATGGACACCCACCTCATACATAAATTACCTGTATATCAATTCATACTTACAAAATAATATCTCCAGTAGATGTATTGCGGGCTTGTAAGCTCGATGCACAACAAACATTATTATTTAATAAAAAAAAAATTAATCTAATACTGGCCTTAAATTATAGAATTCTAAAATTACATAAATTATATATTTTTAATTACATAATGAATTGTATGTTATTGTAGTACATAATAATTGAAATTAAAGTGTTTTTCTAAGTTTTCTAATGCTCTGTTCCATAAATGATCCATTTTTCAATCTGTAAAGAAAGAAAAACAAAATATAATAATGTAATAAACAAATACATTCAATTTTAATTTAATAATTATGACACTATGTATTTTTTAATATATTTAAATAATTATTTTTCTTTTAAAGATGGACCAGCAAATAATAGTGTTTTCCAAAATATACTACTTAAATAATTTATGTTACCTATTCATTAACTGATAATTATTAATAAACAAAATTGAACTTTGATTAAATTTTATCTTCTTTTTTATAATACATGAAAGAAGAAATAGAATGACTGATATTCAATACATACTGTCAAGAAAATTTATCTGAATATCTAATCCTCTTATATAAATAAAAGCAGAGGTAAGCAGAGATACTAATGACGAATTTTATATTTATATTTTCTTAGTATCTCTTATATTATGTGAAGTAGATTAAGATTATAATAATATTAATCTACTTCACATACCTATTAGACTTTCAATGTTTTAATGATTATGATTTTAACTGATCATAGGTATTAATTTTATAATGATAATAAAATTAATAGCTATTACAATTAGACAATTTTTAATATTACTAAATGATTACTTAAAAAATTGCCTTCTATTATACAAATTATATAGAACAAACTTATCCATATTTTGATGATTATATTTGTTTTTGACAAAAAGCATATTACCTGACTGATGTTCCTAAAAACTATTATCCACTTATTTAAGCTTAAATGCTAGTACAAACTCAGATTTTACTCAATATTTTATTTTTTTGTCTTGATATAACAAAGTTATTATGTAGTTGATGAATAACAGTATGTAAATAGTGATTAGAACAGATATATAACACGTTAGTATTATCATATTAGTTGGACAATAAATTCAATAAAAAAAAAGAATAAACAACAGAAACCATTAGTTAATCATAAACTCTAATAAATGGGAGTATAATGGGAACTTCTAAAAAGAGTTCATGATTACCTATTATAAAATTTAGGAAAAATATACTCTTTGAACTAAACAGGAAACCTACGAATAGTTGATATTCACCTACTAAAATACCAAATATCCTGCCGAATAAATTTACCTTGCTACGTTTCTAAAAATGTGGAAGTGAAATTTACACACCTGTATTTTAGAAAATGTCAGTTGAAATCCCTTCGTATCCAATTCACTACATTTATTTTGTTCACCTAATTACGTTTTTACACTTCTTAGTAATTTCAATAGGATAAGAATAACTAAAACAAAAGTTAAGTTTTCCAAAGTCACGTCACGAAAGTAAATATTTTCATCTACTCATAGAACTGTCAAAATTGTATTAACCGATTTTATTGCTGGCGCTTTAGTTGCGTACTATCTTGTGTTAAATAGATACATTTCAAACAAGTCGGATTTTAGAATGGTGAAAAAGTTTAGAAACCGCCAAAAAGTGATAGCCTTTTATTTTTTTAAGATTTTTTAATTGATGTGGTGCAGGAATTGATTACAGTTCGGATTGGGTATTATTCGGATTCGCCGATTCTATTTCGCGCAAAAGGCTGCTACTCGGCCGATGCAGCCTTCTAAAATACTGTTGAAGCAACGGCGAGATAGTAAAATAGGACCGACTGCCGTTCGCCGCGGCCGGTTTTGCGTACTGAAGCTCGGATTATCTACAATACTGCTGCATTGTACAATGCCATAATAATTACGGGACAATTACGGATACAAAACGTTCTCGCTACTGTTTAGAGGCCGAACTGCCCGCTTTTTGCTACTGTACCTGTGGCACAATGACCTTAGCAACTCGAGTTAAGGATGATTGCTTGTCGTAATTCATGTTTAATGCAAGTTATTTGACACGATGTACATAGACAAAAACATTTTACGTCAATGCACTTCTTACCAATAACTGAATTATACGGCTATAAACTAGACAACCCACGCAGTTTCTTTTAATCTTCCAGTTAATCTAGATACAACTACAATATACTTTAACAGTATTAGCTTTAGCCTATCTCGTATCCATGAGTAAAATTTTAGATGCTCAGTGATCCGTTAGTATTACTGGTACAATGATTTACAAGTCTAGTTACCACTTGTAATCTTTTATTCTTTATTCTTTATTGTACACAAAACATACTGGTAATTACAATTCATTATAAACATAATGTACAAAGGCGAGCTTATCTCTAATAAGAGATTTCTTCCAGCAAAATCTTGTGCTCCCTTCGCCGCTAAAACCAGTAAAATCACGAAATTTACCTTTAGTTTTGATGCGACATTACCAACTTGACAACCGTTGTGATTAATTCCCGGTAAATTCGTCATGATGGGTCAACTAACCTAATTTCATTCTTACCTATTATATATGTATCATATTATATACGAAATGTCACTGGTACCTTGCCAGGGTATTCCGCTAGCAAAGGTTGGGAAAACCATACACCAATGTAGTTTTTAATTACCTGTTTTAATGCCGATTTCAGGGGTACATTCTTTGAGAACGCCGCATTCGATGCAGGTTCTTTGGAAGCGTAAGAGTAGCGCTCCACAGCCCCTGACTTTATATTAATGTTATGCGCTGTATACACTACACCATACCTAAGTACCGTTCACTAAAAAAAAATTGACAAAGTACTATTGTACAACCCCATTGATACCTAGTATTCTACCATGGAGGGAGGGATCGCTAGTAATGGTCAATGGCCATTATTAGCAATATAGGGTACATTGCTAATATTGGGCAGTGTACCATGTTAGGTCAATCTCCATGCTGTTCTCCATGGAAACCATTGTGGTTACATTTCTGGCAAATTCGTCACGATGGGGCAACTGACTTGTCTTGGCAACTGACATCCTTACCGTTTCATCCTTTACTGGTGCACCACTATTATAGTATACCGTTAGCACAGGCGAGAGCACTATCCCATCTTGACCCATTAAAAAAACTACTCTATCATAAATTCCCATTTTGCCTATTGACCATAATTTGTTAATTAAAACAACATTCTATTTCTGATTTCCTTTATTTACGTTATTTTTCTTTTCTTTTTATAAAACTCGATCATTTCTTCTAAACTTGCTGAAAAGAAATAAACATAACATTATTATTTCAATGATTTTCTTGAGACTAAATGCTAGGTAGGATTATTAGTGATTTGTGGTAAGACATTTACAACTGTCAAGTTGAAAAGCCGTGAACGTTACGGATTAATTTAAAGTTTGTTTAAAAGTTAATAAGAGATAATTTAAACGTTGCCTATTTTATGAGAACCATCCTCTAGACTTTAGTATTATTTTTATATCGCATTTCTTAAATTCAGCCTTATTACTGTAATAATAATAGTTACTGCTACCAATCGTGCATAACTGTGTTTCGGTTTGATGGATGAGATATGGCACTGAAATTACAGGAGACGGGGGCATAACAGTTTAGAAATGGCAGCACATAAGGGGTACCATGAGCGTTAATGCATTTTGTGAAGTCAAAGGTGGTATTTTATAACGGATGGTTACCTCTATTTTCCATTTTTAGCTGTATAAAAAATAAACTTACAACAAGTTTCTCTTTTCAAAAGAGGAGTATATACTCTAGATTTGACACCCTGTATTAAACAATCAGTATACGATATCACTCTATCTCTGTCATTTTCATCGATTTCGTCACTGTCCATTTTACAGCCATTTAAAAGTTTAGCATATTCTATTTCTAATTGCTGTATTGAATCTTTTATCATGGTGGTTCTGAAATAAAAAAAAATGTAATTCACAAAATATACTTTTTCTTATATTGTACATTAACTTTTATATAAGAACATCAAAGATTGGTTATTTTGTTATTTCAATATATCGCATAAAAATTATTTAAAATTTTACGGGTACCGGTAAGGGAGGGGGATCAATTTTAGTGTGTGCCACTCGTAAAAACTGAAATGCGTAGGTAGGTAAGTAAGCACATAATGTAATTAGAATACACGATATTGCGAGCCTCATTCTTTGGCTGACACCTCTGAGACATCTATTTTTATTTTTATATCAGCCAGTATCCACCGCTAAACAGAGAGTTCTGTTAGTTGTTGCCACACTTGGTAGGTAGTTTAGCAACCGCAATTAAGCTTTGGTGGTTTTAAAAGAAATGCTGCTGCCCATTCACACAATTCATACACAAGAAAGGAAGGGGTGGTCTACTCTATGTCGGGAGCACACGGCACATTAAGGTATATTCGCTAGGAAATACCATGCATTAAATAAATTGACTATATAGTTACTTCTTTTTCATATTTACTTTGTGTAGTTTTACACAATACAAACTATCTTATTTTTAATGACATCATTGTACTCTAGTCCTAGTCAGTTCTTTAATGGATATTCAACCATACACTAGATTGATCATTTAATGAATTCATATTAAGAACCAAAAAATCATATCACTATTATTTAAAAAAAAAACTTACTTAATATTATTCAACGTCCATTCTGTTTGTAAATGTGATATTACACATCTCAATTCATCCTTGTCATATACCCATTTGTTTGTTTCTTCCAACTCATATGTGCAGTGAAATAAATTTAACGGTACATCCAGCGCCATATTGTATTGGGGTTTCCTGTAAGCATTCGAGTTATTATTTTATTTGTACATGAAACTTTATACGTTATCAGAAAAAAAGTTATACTTACAGACAATTATATTTACTTTGTTAATATCATATTTACTAAATCAACTCTTAAAAATTACAGATGTAACCAACAATTCATAGTATAGATAATGACAGCACTGTTAAACAAACCTGGGATTTTTTTCTATATCCAGCAATTCTGCTATGACTTCAGGTGTCTCATTCCCCTGTCCTACCAAAAGTAACACTCCCATAATACATCTGATTTGGTGCCAGAGGAATGCATTCCCTTCTATGATGAGGCAATACATAGTTGTTGCTGAAGAAATATTTAAATAGTTGTTAGTGGCAAATAATTTCATTACCATTGAATAACATCCAACAACTTCGTCTAAATACAATTTACAATCATTTACTCATTATCTTATTTTAATTTATTAATTAATTCTAAACAAAATATTAAATTATTAAATATAACATTGTATTGGAAATAAGTTTTTGTAAGGGATAACTTTTCTTTTTTTATAGGTCTAGGAGAAAGAGACGTTCTGTAATCTTGGCTTATTTCAAAAGTAAATATAACGCATTAGTTTATTGTTAAATTATTATCTTTATCTACATACGATCATTGCTCTCATCTGCTACAGGAGTAATGTCAGCTCTAAAGATTTCCCGCCGAAACTCCGTAACTCCATTACCGACATCCATTTTACAAAGATGGCGGTAGTCGTTAGAACCGAGTAGGAGCTTGCAAGCGTCCTGCATGGCGGCAATGTTTAGTGATGAGCGAGGAAAGTAATATTTATATTGCCTTTTTTTACAATCAAATCTGAAAATAAAGTACATTAGTCATTGCATCATTTTCTCAAGTATTACGTTGTAACATAATTGTTTTCTTTTTGAATTAAATAAAAAATTATGCAACTAAAATATCCCAAATTGGCAACCCCTTAAATATTTTATGAGGAATCTCTCGACTTAAGAACAAGGCTCTTGACTGTATTGTATGTCATTTTTGTTGTCAGTATTATATAGTATGTCAGTATACTGTCATAACTTGCAGGTAAAAATGGTTACTGTTGGTAACGTTTAGGGATGGCAGAGGTACAGAAAAATGTTATGGTGCTTTACATGGAGTAGGGGGGGGGGGGGAAGGGAACTTAAAAAATTATGGTACGGTATAATACTTAAATGTCCCCAAAGCTACATTACAAGGCCGTATTAAACTGTATGAAATAAAGAGTGTGTCTCTAGTACTGGATGAATAGACAAATATAATGGTCTTAGCGATTGTAAACAAAATTGCTAGTTACTTCACAAATAAAATTAAAATAATTAAGATACACATCTTACTAATATAATAAAACAATATCACTAAGAGATGTCTGTACTTGGAAGATATATACGAAAAATTAATAAGACTATAATTATTAATAACAGTCCTAAAAAGACTAATAAAAGACAAATAATTTTAGAAATTTGTCTGTCTATATGTTTGTTCCCGTAACAGCTACTGTACCAAATTGGAAGCAGTTTTCACAGTGTAGGTTGTAGGTCTAACTTAAAATTAGGTTTTATTTAGAAGTGGTCTACTTCATTGGTTTTTTCATACTTCTACAACTAAGTATATGAAGTGGCAGGCAAAAAATTAATTAATATTAAAATGAGAAGTAGTAGTTAAAAGCTTTTTAAAGATTAGAGATAGTGATAAGGCTTGACAAATTACTTGGTTACTACATAATGCCATCCTGAATATCTCATGATTTTTCCAGTGTATTAGGGTTACCACTTTCCATTATAAGTATTGACAATTTATATTTAAGTGGTATTAAAAATTGTAGGCATTTGCAAGAAAACTATAGATCATTACCTAGCACTAAACTCAGGTTTATCTTCTGGTATTGGCATCCACCTAACTGCCCTGATCTCCTTTGGTAACAATCTGTTTAGGATCTTACAGTATGGCATCTCACTTGAAATGGAACTATCTGTATGCTGCTGCTCAGGTGGATATTTACTTCGAAGAGTTATTGATATTACCTGAAATTATGTAAATTAATATTTTTATTAAAAATTTTCATATACAGTATTATAAATCGAAATATTATAAAAAGAAGAGATATTATTCTTTGTGGATATGGATGAACACAAATATTACACAATAAATACGTAATCAATTTAAAAAATATGCATAGAATACTACAATGTCAGTGAGTAACAGCTGTATATTATTTAAAAAAAAAATTAATAGGGGACGGAATGAACAATATAATACTAGTCCAACCATGATGTTGTAATTGTCTAGTATTATAGTATTATTTTGCTCACCTGTCCAAATGCACTGACACCTTTATCAGTCCGTCCACATCTATGATATTGTGATGTTTCCCGGCTTTGAATCAGACATGATTTTGACAAAGCATTGAAAAGGTGATGTTCTATTGTCTGGTTTGAATCTTCCTGTACAGCTAGTCCTTGATAGTTCCAGCCAAAATAGAGTATGTGAAGTAGGATTCGGCGATAATGACATCTGGCAATTATCCATAAGAAATGTAATTAGAATTATTTTTGTTAATCCTTGCATAAATAAATATGTATTAAAAAAAAATTACATTGGAATTGATACAGTTAACACAAACTGATTAAAGAAGATAAAACACATTTTTTATTTATAGATAAAAATAAATAATTTAATTAACATGAATAATAATTACTTTATTTATTTATTACTTTTGACAAAGTACATTTTTAAGTATTTTCAACATATTTACAAATGAATTTAGAAATATAATTAATACTATCTCATAATTGTTTAAATAGTAGGGAAGTATTTTACAGCAATTAATGACAGAAAATGTGTATGTGTTAAGTGTTAAATTATACAACAGTAAATTATATTTAATTTAAAATATAGAATTTAATTGATTACATACTCATACAGTGGTCTAATAATATTTTCAAAACCCAAATATAAATGAGGAAATTATAAAAAAAAATTCTAAATATAAATAAATAATAATATATATAATAATAATAATAATAATAATATAAGCCTTTATTCAGACATTTTTTTTTTAAAAAACAATGTATTAACAACTTATTATTTAATTGCTGTTGTCTGTTTGCTTATTAGCAAAGGCCTCCTCCAACTGTCTCCAATGGTCTCTATTACTAGCAATTCTTGTCCAAATACCCCCTGCTTCAGCCCTAATGTCATCTACCCATCTTCTGTGTGGTCTTCCTCTTCTCCTTTTTTTGTCTTTCGTGTACCAAAACATTATCTTTTTACTCCATTTATCTCTCCCTCTAATTGTATGCCCTGCCCATTTCCATTTAAGTTTTTTAACTGTGACTGTAACATCTTTAGTTTTTATGTGTTTTTTAATTGTGCTAGTTTTAATTCTGTCTGATAATCTTATCCCCATCATACTTCTTTCCATGGCATTCTGGCAATTTTGTAGTTTTTTAAAGTGGGATTTGGTAAGAGCCCAGGTTTGGCAACCATATGTAAGAACTGGTAAAATACAGGTTTCAAATAGTTTACTTTTTAAGGCTGTGTTTGTCATTTTGCTTTTAAGTATTTCCTTTAGACTCCAAAATCGTTTCCAGGCATTTCCTATACGTTTTTCAATCTCCTTTGTAGTTAAGTCTGTTGGTGAAATTATTTGACCCAAATATACATACTCATCTACATATTCAATTTTTTTGTTGTTGATGCAGATAGTTTCCCCTTTTTTCCCATTTGTCATAATTTTTGTTTTTTCTTTGTTCATAACCAAACCTACTTTTCGGCTTTCTTTATCTAATTCATTAAGCATTACTTGTAGATTGTCTCTTGTTGGGGAAAATAAAATTAAATCGTCGGCGAATCTCAGATGTGACAGGTATTCCCCGTTCATTAATAGTCCATACTCATCCCAATTTAGTTGACGAAAGATCTCTTCTAATACTGCAGTGAAAAGTTTTTTTTTTTTTTTTTTTTTTTACAACACAGGGGGCAAACGAGCATGCGGCTCACCTGATGGTAAGTGACTACCGCCGCCCATGATCACCCACAACACCAGCGGCATTGCAGGTGTGCTGCCGGCCTTTTAAAAAGGAATATACTCTTTTCTTGAAGGTTATGTTGTCGTATCGGTTCGGAAATACTGCTGCTGGAAGTTGATTCCAAAGAATGGTTGTGCGTGGAAGAAAGTGCCTTGAAAAACGCACGGTGGAAGACCGCCACTCGTCCAGATGATTGGGATGAAACTTTAGTTTGTGGCGGGTTGTACGGTGGTGAAAATCAGCAGCAGGTATCAATCCGAACAATTCCTCAGAACACTCCCCATGATAAATTCGGTAGAAGATGCACAGAGACGCAACATCTCTGCGCAGTTTCAATGGGTCAAGTCGGGCAGTAAGGCGTTGACTATCGATAATTCGAGCCGCCCGACTTTGAATGCGGTCTAACGGAAGGAGTTGGTACTGTGGCGCTCCTGCCCACAGGTGAGAACAGTATTCCATATGCGGCCTGACTTGGGCTTTATATAATTTCAGGCGGTGTTCTGGCATGAAATATCGTCTCACCCTATTGAGCACTCCTAACTTTTTGGAAGCTATCTTAGCCTTCTCCTCCAGATGACCGCAAAACTGGACGTCGCAAGATATATCAACGCCCAGAATTCCTAGACTTGACTTTTTATCAAGGGAAGTGCCCTGAAAGTGAGGAGATACGACAAACGGCGTCTTTTTTGCGGTAAACGCGCAGACTTGTGTCTTTTTGGGGTTAAATTGGACAAGATTTTGTTCACCCCAGATCGAAACTTGATGGAGTGAAGTTTCGATTTCAGACACAAGTCTATTCCGGCACTCATCGGTATGTGCCCGCGAGATCTTTGCATGACCGGTATATAATGTATCTCCTGTACTGTCGTCCGCATAGCAATGAATATTACTTATCTGTAACATATCATTGATATGCAGAAGAAACAGAGTCGGAGATAGTACACAGCCTTGCGGGACACCAGCATTCAAAGGTTTTAAATCAGAGCATGCACCGTCGACTACGACCTTAATGCTACGTTCCTTGAGAAAACTGGCGACCCAAATGCACAGTCTCGCAGGCAACCCAAATGAAGGTAGCTTTGAAAGCAGCGCTCTATGCCACACCCGATCAAAGGCCTTCGCAATATCCAGACTAACTGCTAAGGCCTCTCCCTTACTCTCGATTGCCACTGCCCATCGGTGTGTTAAGTAAGCTAAAAGATCACCGGCCGAACGTCCCTGTCGAAAGCCATACTGGCGATCACAGATCAGCCGGTGCTCTTCTAGGTACCGGAGCAGTTGACGGTTAATGATGGATTCCATAACCTTCGAGAATAAGGAAGTGATAGCTATGGGCCTATAGTTAGCTGGATCTGAGCGATCTCCCTTTTTAGGGATCGGATGCACCAGAGCAGTCTTCCAAAACTTTGGGACTATGCCCGATGAGTAGCTAAGCCGAAAAAGACGCGTAAGAACCGGAGCCAACTCTGGTGCGCACGTCCTAAGCACAATTGGAGGAATACCATCAGGCCCACTCGACTTATGGATTTCGAGAGAGAAAAGTGCTCTACGCACTGAGCTATGCGTGAATTTAATGTCAGGCATAGAGCTCCTACAACACGTGATGGTCGGTGGTGGTTTCTCCCCGTCATCCAATGTCGAGTTTGACGCAAAGATGGATCCAAGAAGATCGGCCTTTTCTTTAGCGTTCTGGGCCAACGAGTCATCCTCCCTGCGCAAAGGTGGAAAAGATGACTTACAGAAATTCCCTTGTGCAGCTTTGGCAAGAGACCAGTAGTGCTATTCTCTAAGCAAACAGCCTAGACATCAGCCTTGACGCAGCGATGAAATATTGAAATGGTATTCACTAATTCTTAAGACGCGACACTAGCGCCCAAAGACGAGCTCAAAGACGAGCGGCATAAACGGGAACTACTCAAGGCTGTGCGATTTGACATTTTGCCATAGTATTTGGTATTCACTAACAAAAATCAGCCTCGCCTTCGCCGACAGCCTAGCCTACAGCCTCGATTTCTTATGTCAAACTCAAAAGCTTTGTTTTCTACGCTGTTTGCATAGTATTCATCTAATATATTTATTTGTTTCTTGAATTCTGTGATTATTAATTGTATTGAAATTATCAATTTGTGTTTAAAAACGATTGCTGCCCGTTTATGTGTAATGACCCATTTGTTGAAAGAAGCTAAAATAGAAAATGATTGTAAGAAATGCCGACAATCAACAACTTTATGTGATGTGGATTATATTCATCATTACCGACTTTCTGAAGAATTAATCAATATGTTAGAAAAAGAATTGTCACCATGTATGCCTGTTCCAGAGAGTTGTTAAAGCTAAAGGTTTGTAACTTAAATTTTATTAATTGATGGTATTAGGTACATAAATAAATTTAAAGCAGGAAAAAGAATACTTTGCAGTGATTGTGTGCACTTGTTTATTTTATTGAGACAAGCTTAATTGTGTCAGCAGATGTTTGTGTAGGGAACAACTAGCTAGTTAATAATGGTGTGTAACAAGTATTCTAGTATGCATAATAATACTTCTGGTGTTACAAATATTCATGGATCATGGTAACCGTTTCCCATTAGGTGATCCATAAGCTTAGTGGCCTCTGGTTTTGTATAAAAATAACTATGTCTAATATGTTAGAAAGAAACCAACTTAGTTAAACATGTAGTAAATTATTAATTCATGTCAATTAATTTTTGTTAAATTAGACCACTAAATTTAGCATTCAGGTTGAAACTATTATAAAAAATTGTTTCAAAATCATAGTTTTAAAAAACATGACACACATAAATTCAGGATTGGCTATGTGGCTAATTAAAAATAATTAACATTACTTGTTTTTTTTCAGGTGATTTTGAAACTCATTTAGTAGCATGACACAAACCCTTGGACAGCCACAATAATAGTAGTGTATTGCTGTATTGTTTGTGATATGCTGATAATATGATGCAGTTACATCATCTATACAAAATGAAGAAGCACAAAAGAAAATTTTGTAGTCAAAATAAGCTAGCTATACTTTTTGTACTTATATCTTAAAACTATTTTCAAATACTTTTTTATTGTTACATTTTTGTCTACCTGTGAATTAAAATTAATATTATATTATGTTGTAAATGTATATTTTAATTTAAAATTATTATAATTAATTCATATTATAACTAGTATGGAGTAAGAAATTAAAAAAAATATTCATTAAAAATTATTTATTTGAAATTGAAACAAGTTTATAATTATAAAATTTTATTGTAATTGTGTTTTTATTTGAAAATTATATAAGATGAAACTTATATTTCAAAATTACTAATGACTATTAAATGACATAATTTAATCTTATATTTTCAATAATGAACTTGATTTAACTAATAATTCCAATAACTCTTGTTATGTTTGGCAGTGTATATTTTTAGAAATGTATTATTGTAAAATCTATTAGTATTTTAAAAACCAAAATTGAGGTTTCTCCCCTTCTTC